GCTAGTATTTGCATTGATTTTTTAATATACTGAAAAATAATTTTTTCTGATCTTGTTTCTTAGATTTTTCAAATGATTGAGCATTGGGCTTTATTTTCATAAAGCCCTCGTTAGTTGGACTTAAGAAGGAAGTTCGATATAATGTGCTTTGTTAACTACTATAGAAAGAGTTATCTAGAATATGGATTTGACTTTTCCCAAGATCAGCACAGATAGACAGATAGGAAAGACTAATCTGGTTGGCTTTGATAGAGTTAGTGTGTCCTAGTAAAATGACTTAAATTTTTTTTCTCCAAGTGGGATTTTTAAAAAATCTCTTCTGCCCAAGTTAATTTTTGTTTTTTATGTTTAGGATAAATTTACTTACCATTTGGCTCCAGTTGAAAAATCACACGGCAGACTGCAAAGCAGATCATCAAGATCACAAAAGAAAAAATCCAAGTCACCTGAGAGAAACAAATATTGTATAAATGCAAAAAACTACGAACAGCCTACAATTTCTTCAAAATCACATTCTCCATCTCCCTACACAAAAAGACGGATGTGTGAGCTATCTGAGGACACCAGGCGGCGGCTGGCCCATTTAAACCTGGGACCCTATGAATTCAAAAAAGAAACAGATAAGCCTCCATTTGTGATTAGACATGTAAGCATTTCAATTTGAAATCAATCACATCTTTTCTTCCATTAAAATATTCTTTAAATGTCTTTCAACTTTTAGCTTATATTAATAATTTTATTTCCTGAACTGTTAACCTAGCAATCTAAAATGAAAAATTAACTTAGAATAAAAGGACATGTTTCTGTCTTTAAACTTGGCAAAGATGAAACTACATTATAAATGCCTTTTAAATCCTATAAGTACTGTTTTCCTTTCTTTTTGTGTAGACAGTGTAAGTTCCTCTACAAATTGAACTTGGTTATAGTTAACATTAGTACTACAATGGCAGAGTGGCATTTTAAAAGAAAACCAAGTATTCTTTCAGAAAAGGAAGACCCTGACCACACTAGGTTGCGTAAAACTTATAATGGAAAGTAAGTTTTCTTTGAAATGATGTTCTTTACCTAAGCTAACAGCAGAAATAGCCAATACCATAGACATCTCAGCTGGTTCAGCTTACACAGTTCTGACTGAAAAATTAAAGTTGACCAAACTTTCTGCTTGGTGAGTACCAAAAACTTTGTTCCCAGATTAGTTGCAGACAAGAGCAGAGCTTTCAATAGAAATTGAAACAAATGAGATCAAGATCCTGAAGCATTTCTTCAAAGAATTGTAATAGGAGATGAAACATGGCTTTTCCAGTATGATCCTGAAGACAAAGCACGATCAAAGCAGTGGCTACCAATAGGTAGAAGAGGTCTAATCAAAGCAAAAGGGCAAAAGGACAAAAGGTCAAGAGCAAAAGTCATAATGATAGTTTCTTTGGATACTGTAAACATTTTGATTGTTGACTTTGTGAAGGGCCGAAGAATGATAATATCTGCTTATTATGAGAATGTTTCAAGAAAGTTAGCTAAAGCTTTAGCAGAAGACAACCCTGGAATGCTTTACCAAAAAGAATACTTTGCTAGGACAATGCTCTTGCTCATTGCTCTCATCAAACAAGGGCAACTTTGCCAGAGTTTTGATGAGAAGTCATTAGACATCTACCTTACAGTCCTAATTTGGCTTATTCTGACTTCTTGTTTCCTAATCTTGAAGAATCTGTAAAGGGCAGCCATTTTTCCTCAGTTAATAATGTACTACTACATTGATATGGTTAAATTTCCAGGACCCCCATTTCTTTAAGTATGGATGAACTAAATGGCTGGTGTCATTGCCTACTAAAAGTGTCTTGACCTTGATAAAACTTGTGTTGAAAAGTAAAGTTTATATTTTTATCTTTTAATTCATTTTTTCTGTGAACATTTTGAAGTCCCTTGTATAGATATATTAAAATATATAATAATACTGCACCTCAAGATTTAAGTACAAAGCAAAAAAAAACTTTTTGGGATATCTATAAAAATATTTCTGACTATTATCTTTAATCTGTTTTTTCTAACTTCTAAAATGAATGAACTCAATCTGTAAATAAGCCCCTTTGGCAATCTAATAGCTTCTTGAACATACACATCTGAAAGTTCAGATTTTCTTTGTTACCCTTTTAAAAAACTTAAATGTGCCTTAAAGCAACATTTCATTATATGTTTTTGTTTTGACTATGAATCCTTTACTGTTTTATCCTAAAGTTACAGGTTTCTAATTATAAAATAAAATATACAGTGTAATGGATAGTTTTAAATGATAATATATTATTGAGGTGATTGTGATTGTTTTCGTCATTCCTATAGAATTTCTTATAAGTTCTGATTATATTTTGTTGGTTGTTTAAACAATATTCAGATAATGTTTTAGTTGTATGTTTGATTAAGAATGCCTTTAATTTCATGTTTGTCCACAATTACAAATTAAATGGAAAAGAAAGGAAGAGTCTTTTTCTGCCTGTTTAATCTAGCCAGAAGCCTCATATTTATCTCTTCAAAGAACCAACTTTATATTACATTAATCTTATGTATAATTCTTTTGTTATTGATTTCATTTAGTTTTCCTTTGATCCTGCTTATTTTTTTCTGGTGGGTTTGGGGTTGGTTTGCTCTGCCTTTTTCAGATCCTTGAGACAATTCATTAGATTGTTAATTTTTGATCTGTCTTTTGCATGTAGGCATTTAAGGTTATGAATTTTTTTCTCAGACATGCTTTAGCTGTGTCTCACAGGTTTTGATAACTTGTGTCTCCTTCATCATTTAGTGTGAACAATCTTTTGATTAATTTCCACCGTTACCCAACTATGGTTTAGCAGTAGGCTGTTTAGTTTCCATGACTTTGTGTAGAGATGAGTATTTCTGTTGGTGTTAATTTCTTTCTTTTTAAATTTTTTTTTTGTTGTTGTTGTTGATGTTGATGTCTAATTTTAATCTGAGAAGATGCATGTTATAATTTCTGGTGTTTTAAATATGTTGAAACATGTTTTGTAACCTAGACTTATTTTCCATGAACTGATGAGAACATGTATTCAGTATTTTTTTTGAGACAGTCTCAGTAGGTTGCCCTCGGTTGGGTGCTGTGGCATTACAGCTCACAGCAACCTCCAGCTCTTGGGCTTAAGCGAGTCTCTTGCCTCAGCCTCCCAGTAACTGGGACTACAGGCACCTGCCATAGTACCTAGCTATTTTTTACTTGCAGTTGTTGTTGTTTAGCAGGCCCAGGCTGGGCTCGAATCCCCAGCCTAGGTGTATGTGGCTGGTGCTCTACTCACTGAGCTATGGGTGCTTAGCCTGTTCAGTGGTTTTTGATAGAATGTTCTATGAAAGTCTGTTAGGTCCATTTATTTGTTCTATAGTTCTATTCAAGTCCATTGTTCCTTTATTTTCTCTTTGTGGGATCTGTTTCATTCTGTCAGTGTAGTGTTAAAGTTTCTGGCTGTTAATGGTGCTATTTTTATCATTTTGTGTAGATCAAGTAGGATTTCTTTTATGAATCTGATATACCTGTGTTCAGTGCATAGACTTTTAGAGTTGTTATGGCTTCTTGTTGAATTTTTCCCTTTATCACTATTTAATGACCATCTTTGTCTTTCTTACTTTGTTGATTTGAAGTCTGTGTGCTGTGATAGGACAACCAGTACACCAGCTTTCTTTTGGTTTCCATTTGCATTGAATATTGTTTTCTATCCCTTCACCTTGAGTTTGAACATGTCCTTGTGGGGTAGATGTGTTTCCTGGTGACAGCAGATACTTGGTTACTTTTTTTTATCCTTTTAGTCAGTCTTATGTCTCTTTAGTGGGGAGTTCAAGCCATTCACATTCGTTGAAAGAATTGATAAGGTGTACCCTGGAGACTTGTAAATGGCATCTTGGGCCTGGTGGAAGTTCTGGAGGCACAGAAGCAGAACTTCAGTTTCTGGTGTGAGAGCCTCAGAGGTGGGACTGGGGAGAAACCACAAGCAGAAACTCTGAGCATGCCTGCTAAGTCAGAAGCAGGATGCTGCAGATGGTGGGCTGATCCAACCTGGAAGGTGGAGTCAGGGCCAAGTAGGCAGGAGGCAGTCAGGGCTCAGAGAGGTGAGCTACGGCTAAACAGGCAGAAGGCTGCTCTCCAGCAAAGTGTCCCTGTGGATGTCAAATCAGGCTGACGGAGGTTGGCTGCAGTGGCCCAGGGACACAGAGCTCTCCATGCTCTACTCAGGGCCTCCTGAAGTGCCACCCAAAGCTTCTCAGGTCAGAGCCCTGTGTACCCTGACTTGAGAGCCTCCAAGCCATAAGTAGGGTGGAGGCAAAAGCAGTTCCTCTGAGCAGGGCTTCTGTGCCAGAAGCAGGGTTGTGCAGCTGGTGGGCTGATCTGACCTGGAGGGTGCGGTCAGGACCAAGCAGTCTAGAGGCAGCTGGGGCCTAGAGGTTGGATTCCAGGCAAAGCAAGCAGCAGGCCACTGTGTAGGCATGGAGGTCTCATGGATGCCATGTCGGGCAGGCAGAGGTCATAGCTCTCCATTGCCCCACCTAGGCCCCAAAGCATTTGCCTACAGCCTCTCAGCTCAGAGCCTCTTATGCTATGGTCACTCCCCTTGCTCAGATCCTGTTGTGCTCTAGGAGTGAAGTGCTTAGCTCCAAATTCCAGAGCACAGTTCAGGGAAGCCACAGGTCAGTCTACTCCCACTCCTGCAAGGTACAGAGCTGGTACAGTGTACCCAAGACCTCAGGACAGCTTTAGGCACTCTAGCATTCTATTCTATTGTTTCCCTTGCTTTCTCTGATCTTATTATATGTACCACCCTGTTTTTTGGTGTTTTTTTTTCCTCCACACTAAGTGTCCTGCATGTTGCTTCTCTGTGACTTCACAATGCTGCTTCAGAGAAGAGTGATTTCTATGTAGGCAGCTCCCTGCACCTTTCACTTCTTTCCTTGGGAGCAGGGTTCTGTCAGGCTGCCTCTAGTCTACCATTTCCTACCCCTCTTCTGTTTCTATGAATTTAGGTACTCTTGGTACCTCATAGAAATAGAATTATATATTGTTTTTCCTTTTGTGACTGGCTTATTTCATTTAGCATAACATCCTAAATTCATCCAATGTGCAGCATGTGTCACAATTTACTTACCATTTACAGTTAAATAGCATTGTCTTATATGTCTATATGACATTTGTTTGTCCATTCATCTATCTGTTGATAGATATGCAAGCTGCTTCCATTATTTAGATATTATGTATAATATTGCTATAAATACAGGTGTACAAAGTGAATAACACTGCTGTTAACATGGGTGTACAAATAGCTGTTTGAGCTCCTGTTTTCAGTTCCTTGGGGTATATACTCAGACATAGAATTACTAGACCATACAGTAATTCTGTTTTTAATTTTTTGAGAAACTGCTATATTGTTTTCCAAAGCAGCTGTACCATTTTACATTCCCACTAATAGTACATAAGTGTTCAAATCTCTCCACATCTTCCCCAACATTTGTAATTAATTAATTTATTTTTATAATGACCATCTTCATGAGTATGGAATGGTATCTCACTATGATTTTGATTTCCATTTCCCTAATGATAAGTGACGTTGAGCATTTTTTCGTGTACTTGTTGGCCATTTGTATGCCCTCTTTGGTGAAATATCTATTCCAGTTTTTTACCCATTTTAAAATCTACTTTTTGTTGTTGAGTTATATGCATGTAGGAGCTTTTTATAGAGTCAGGACAATAACTCCTTATTAGATACATGATTTGTTAATATTTTTTCTGATTCCATGGGTTGCCTTCTCGATACCGTCCTCTGATGAACAAAAGCTTTTAATTTTGATGAACAGAGATGTCTGTTTTACATGTTTATATCATTTTGACTTTTTACTTTGGGTTGGAAAATTTGGTTGACAATATAGTAAGCTGTAAGGCACATGCTAGGCCTCTGAATACAGACAAGTAAAAACACTATTTAAATTCAAAATGTGCATGCTGAGAAGATAAAGAGCAAATGACTAGTCTTGGTTTTTAAGTATGGCAAAATGGATTGCTCTTTTGTAAATGTTTTGATAGAAAGCAAAATAAGCAATGGAGAATAGACATTTCAATTGCAAATCTGTTCATTTTAAAGTAGGCCCAAATACATACATAAACATTTTTGGAGTTTAGGTTTAATTTTACTTAAAAATGAACAGCAAAATATTTGACTTTGGAACTTACCTGACCCTATGGACACCATCATGTTAACCAGATGATATGTGGTCTCTGTACTATTGTCATTTTTCTGCTATAACATTGAAAGACTGGGAATATTTAAGGTCTTTTATATATCAAAATCCTGCTTCCTCTAGGTTGATCCCCCAAGTCCTAGGGCTGATACTTTGTTTGGATCTCCTGGCAGAGATTGTGAAAGAGATGGATGGTCAAGGATGCACAATGGTAAGCTAGAAGTTCTTTCTTCATTGCTTCAGTTGCCTAGACTACAGTTAAGTTCTTAACTTGGTATCAGTTAACAAAAACAAAACTTTTGTCTTATTATTAGATAATGTGATATTGTATAGATTTTTACAACTTGTGGGACATCGATATAGATACTCTCTAAAATAAGAAAATTTGTGTGTTACTGTAGACCTCCTCTCTCTCTGAGATTCAACATATCAGCATGTTAAACTAATGCCTTCTATTAAAAAATAACTTAATTTAGTTTTATTCAACTTTTCTCCCTAAGTAATTTTAACTACTTTGATAATAAGTTTATTTATTAAAGAATGCAGATAAGATGACAAATGTTGCCACATAGAATGCTCTAACACAAAAGATGCTTGATGCATATCAGCTGTCCTTATAACCATAGTAGTTATTATTTATATTTCTGAAAAGATAACATTCTTTAGGTTTAGTTTATAAGAATATTTTTTCATGTTTAGTCCTAGTTCTTGTTGTTAGATAAGTTGCTTTTAAAATTCAATATAGGGCGGCATCTGTGGCTCAAAAGGGTAGGACACCAGCCCCAGCCAAAAACAAAAAGTAAAATTCAATATAAAGGTGATTTTTATGAATATGGTTAAACAGTATTATATAATTAAGGGTATTTGAGTATTAATATTTGTAGGTGTTGGCTAGTGGGTTAAGCAGGTATTCACTACCAGCCTTTGTAACTCAGCCTAATATGGTACCACTGCTGTAGGACAGTAAGTCAAGATATACGGTGTTGGGGCAAAGAAAGCAACCTTTAAGTGGAGAACCAGCAAACCCAGGAGATGGAGGCCTAGTGTTTTAAAGAGCCATCAATGGTGGGCCCGGTGTGGCGGGGTTTTGGGAGTAGTAGGGGGGAGGGTGCCCCAGGCTGCTGGCGGAGTGCCGCCAGGCTGCTGGGGCTCTCTCAGGCGGGAGTCGCTGCCTCCAACCCCCCGGGGCTCTGCCTTCCTCCAGGAAGCTGGGTCTGAGCCTCAGAAGTACCCCGTTTCCCTTCGGAGGCGCCTGGAGATGGTGGAAGGCCGCAGTGGAGGGCGTCACGGTGGTTCTAGACCTGGAATGGCCAAATTTCAAGGTGAAGTTCAGAGTTTGAAACTGGATGATAATTCAGTTCTAGAAGGAGTAAGTGACCAAGTACTTGCGGCAGTTGTGGTCACTTTCGCTTTGGTTGCTACTCTGGTGTATGCACTTTTCAGAAACGTACATCAAAATATTCACCCAGAAAACCAAGAGCTAGTAGGGGTGCATCGAGAATAACTTCAAACTGAACAGGGTGCACCTGCTGCTGCCCGACAGCAGTTCTACACCGACATGCCCTATCTGTTTACACCAAGCCTCCTTCCCTGTCCAAACGAATTGTGGACACCTTTTTTGTGGTGCCTGCATTGTTGCTTTCTGGCGGTACGGTTCATGGCTCGGGGCAATCAGTTGTCCAATCTGTAGACAAACGGTAACTTTACTCCTGACAGTATTTGGTGAAGATGATCAGTCTTGGGATGCTGTAAGATTACATCAAAATATTAATGGTTATAACTGGAGATTCTCAGGGCAGCCCAGATCCATTATGGAGAGAATTATGGATCTCCCCACTTTACTGAGGCATGCATTCAGGAAAATGTTTTCAGTTGGGGGCCTTTTCTGGATGTTCTGCATTAGGATAATACTTTGCTTAATGGGAGCTTTTTTATACCTTATATCACCTCTGGATTTTGTGCCTGAAGCCTTGTTTGGAATTCTCGGCTTTCTAGATGATTTCTTTGTTATCTTTTTGTTGCTCATCTACATCTCTATTATGTATCGAGAAGTGATAACTCAAAGGCTAACCAGATGAAAACAATGCGAGTTTACTGGAATATCTGAGCTAATGTAAAAAAACCAACAGAAGGACCCATGGCGGTATAAAGCATTTGTATATTATCTTATAAGCTTAACACCGCTATGTAACAAAACATTTGATTATCATTTGACAAATGCCTAGCGATACATAACTGGAACTTTACATGTTGCAGGCACCAATGTTAAGTTTAGAATTATAATGATCTACAGTTGTATCTTGATTCTGTGTTGTCTGGAAGCAAATACGGAATTATATAAAAAGGGATGCTTTTATATTTTCCCTAAAATTACTTAAATTGGATGTATAGTAAGATACTGTTAAATGTACTATTTATCCAGTTTTTCCTCCTCAGTGGGTACCTACATGAGGATATATATCTGTGAAACTCATCATAATTATTTTTGTTAAAATAAAATACCATACAATGGAGGAAGTCAGTGTTTCTTTCAGTACTAGCTGAGTTTTGTGTATTTGGAGCAGTTCTGCTTTTCCATTCTGGTATAATTCTTTGTTACCAGCTAAAACTGAAAGAAGAAACTTGAACTTTGTAATTTGATTTCGTATTCTAGTTTACAGAACACTTTGTAATCAAAGGAGGAATTAAGATGAAAACCATTGAGCTCCGTCAGCATACCTGATGTTCAGAGTTAAAATATTAAACAAGAGTTTGGTCCTTTTGTAGGAGTAGATAGAAGTTGTAAGGGGAACATTTTTTAGGAACTCGGGTAATACTGTGAACACTAGTAGTTTGATGTGTTTCTAAGGAAAATGGATCTTCTTGTCTATGAGCATGAAAGCCTCTGGGAAGGTACGAGAAATGCTATTTAAATTTGACAAGAGAATTTACTGGTTAGCCCTAGCCCCAGTTGGTTAGTTTTCTATATCCTCAGATGTTGACGATACTCTCAAGATGGCAGCACGTGGTCCAGATGCCTCATGTCTTAAGCAGAGTGAATAAAAGTGAGAAGAATCAACACAAGTGTTAGGAGACCCTCACTCACTCCAGCTGGCTTTGCTCACTGGTGAATTTAGGGCAGCAGATGTAAGGTGATGCCCAGGAGTCAGTATAAGCATTGTCATCTGCAGTCACTGGTGTCACTGTTATCCGTTAATTAGTGAGCTTCATGAACTTCAGACAGACAAGGAGAATATCTGTCACATTCTCCTAAATTAATCAGATTATCCATCAGTTAATGAGATTCTAAGTGAAACATCAATTTGTATTTTCTCCTTTGCCTAGGACAAAGCTAAGGAAAAAGGAATGATGCTCAGATCAGCATGGCGTACTTAACACAGCTTCCTGCACACTTTTTGTTTTAACCTTAGACAACTCTGCAAGGGGAGAAGGGCATCACCTTCCCTTTCACAGATGGAATCCCCATGCTATTATTGATGAAGTTTTTTGCCTGATGTCACCTAACAAATAAGCAATAGAAATGGCATTAAACTTAGTAGGGCTGCCGCATAGGATGTTTAGATGAACACAAAGGTCATTGTCAAGATAGGAAGCAAGAGAGAAACTGGGATCTGTTGAAATCTTTCATAGTACATTATGCCTTCATCAGAATAGGACAGCAGGTACTCCTGGGAGGAAAGGTCTAGAAAGATGACACATCAAGACTTCATGGATCCTAAATTCACATTTCCAAATAAAATGTCTGATAGGGTGGCATACATCACAGAAAATCATACCAGCTGTAATCACCAACTTGAAAAGCTAAGCGATAGGACTTGATTACACCACCATTTACCAAGCTGAAAATGCATTTCCTACCAGTTACGAATTTTGTGTAGGGCTATAGCAATGTCATTTTTTGACAGGATTCTATTCTCTGTGCATGTGTTTGGCTCCAAGTGTCACATTTTTGGTTATAGTAATTTTATTGTAATATTTGGAATGTAGGCTTTCCTACTATACGAGGTATATTGTACCAAATTTTGTAACACACAAAAGCACGGTATAATCCAAAGTGTTATGAAATTGAAAAGGGTATGTGCTGACATCTTAGAATTTTAGACCTGTTTGTTGTCACCTTTGTTTATCACTACTGATAAATGCAGAAGGGATTTGAGGGAATATTTTAAGCAACAATCAGTATTTTAAACCCCATAGTAATATGTCAGTGATTCAGAGTTAGATCATATAAATCAAAGCAACAATTTGGATTTTTTTAAATATTATAACTGTCACAAAAAACAAATGGTCCATCCCCAGGAACAGGTAATAACTTGGGCAGCTCTGTGGGGAACAAGACAGGGGAAACTGTTCTAATTGCCCACCAGAACAGTGGTTTCAGCTGCTGTATTCTCAGTGTTTGGGAGGAACAGGGAAGAAGGGACTTGTACTGTTCCTGTGGCTGTGCAGATACCTACCTCACAGAGTTGTTGTATGGGATTGCAGTTTAGTTCAAATTTTGTGATTGAAACTTGTCAAGTATTTTGTTATTTTGAATAAAAGCAACATATCTTTAAAAAAAACCATCAATGGTAAATTAGTATGAAGTTTAGGCTTCTTTTTATGTTGAGGGGTGTTGCAAGAGATAACCAAGAACTGCAGACACTGGAGCATCAGCAAGGGTCCAAGAAGGTTGTGAAACCTCTTTGTTCTTGGTTGGTTAACTTTGGAGGATGAAGGTCAGATCTAGTGTTCCTATAACTCTTCAACACAGTATTATTGTACTCACATGGGTACTTTCCTTACTTCCCTGCGAGTCCGTTTGGGGAAAGGAACTAAATGATGTTTTAGTTATTTTTTTTTTAAGAGTTGTATTACAAACTAAATTCTTCCTATAATTAGCTGGCCTATGTGAAGACTTAAACAGAAGCTTTTAACCTAAAGGATATTGCTGCAGGGGGTCTGCAACACAGTGGAGCTAGTCAAGTCAAGCCTTGTTTCCACTGTTACATCTTTAAAGTTAATTTACTGCACACTGAGAAAGTCATAGAGGAAGAAAAATGACATACAGTGAAAAAAATGGAATCATAACATGGGAGCTTCATCTCTTTCATTTTCTAAACTGTAGTGTATAATCTTTTTTTAAAAAATGAGAAAATGTAATAATCTTTTCTGAGAATATGCCAAGTTTGTGCTTGCTTATCTATCTATCTATCTATTTATTTATTTTTG